AAGTGGTCTTGACACATATTTCATAAGTCCATCAAGAAACGCGAATGTCAACAGACAAGGCATAACATGCTGGAATTTATTCTTGAGTTCAGAGAGAAGGTGTGCCCAAAGTCATGCATTGAATAATTTTTGTGAAACCCCTTTCAAGCAAGACAAAAGTCATCACTAAGAATGATAATATCATGATACTATGTGTCTACATACCTTTTTATCCGGGAAAAATGATGATCTCATAGGAGCAAAGAGGCTTCCCTGCAATATTGAAAACGCACAGTGAAGGTAGACTGTTAAGACTTTCTGGCCAATAGCAGAAATATGACTCATTGATGAGCTCCACATGATGCGTGATGTGTGGCCTACCACTCGTCAAGTAGAGTAATCAAACGACTATCACTAGGCAAGCCTGAGTGTTCGATGTCTTCTGACCCGGTTGAAGCGACCATGTCAGAAAATATCTCCATGCCAACTCGTCTCTGCAGAATACATGATGGCATTATGGTATCCCCGTTCAAAAAAGTTGAAGAAGCGGATAAATGCCTTCCTAGCCTATCATATCTGTCGCCATATCTTAAAATGGCGAGAGTGGCGTGAAAACTAGCACAGCGCACAGCCTGACGTATCTTCACGTCAGGTTTGAAAATTCAAACGGTGTTTGAATTTACAACTTAAAAATAAGCCAAGACAACCCGACAGACAAGCATCGACCCTCTTTACCTTCACAAGAAGGCATCACGCCTTGAAAGTTCTGAGTGACTTTTTACATCATCTTTTTGAAATATGCGATAGCTTGCTGGATTTATAAATACCAACTGAGAACTACCTGACGCCGGATGAATCTTGGTCTTTTTGATTTGGTCGTTTCGGCCTGGCAGCCATCGCCATCGCCAGTGCCATGTTCTGCTTCTCTCTCGTTTCATATCTGTCATATGTTTTCGTTCGATCGTTTCATCGTATTCATTTTTCGTCATCAACGAGCTGGCATGAACGTTGTTTGCCAAAGTGGCATCAAGTTTATTTTATTGAAAAGTAGATGGCATGTGTTTGTTCTGTATCTGCCGTTGGTGTGAAGCGTCGCCCGTTCATACTTACTGGATCCTTTAACATACGTTAAACTTGCTACTGCGGCAGGAGAAGTCAATGGTCTGTTCAATTGGTTGACTGAAAAGACTTATTGGACCACATTTCTCCAAGAATTGATGTGAGAAGCTGTCTAAGCATCCTGAGAAGTCGTCTAGTCGTCGAAGTCAGCGTATCATGGACGCTGGGAAATGCACATCCACACCAGCAGCTTCAACGAGTGGCCGTGAATTCGATGTGATCATGCTTGCTCTATCTGTAAACTGCCCTTGTGCCCCTGTCCATGTGAAAATGACCCAGGCAGTCCACCGCATCGCAATGCCATGTGTGCTCAGGAAGGACACTTCATAGAATTGCTGGTCATGGATCCTCCCCAAACTCGGGAATCTTCCAGTCCGGGAAAAGAAAACGATCCATGCCTAAAAGCATCACTTGTGTAGACGATGCAATTTTTCCCCAGCTCCCCACTGCTCCCCCATCTAACTTTATTGCGGTTGTACACGCCATGATAACAGGCTACCATGCGCGCCAGTATCACAATTGCCGGCTTTTTGGCCGTGCTGGTGTCAACAGCTTCCGCCTACCGTGCTCCTCAGGCGAGGAACAGTTGTCTCAAGACATGCTTGGTCCCGTACGGGACCAATGCGACCCGGACTATCAAGACGATATGCCGACGTGCCTGTAAAGTAGCCGCCCCCCTGCGTGGATCCTGCCGCAAAACCACAAACACCTTCTGGCGGAACCAGACCAAGGTCTGCCGTCAAAGCATCCGGCGGATCAAGCAAGGCCTCCCTCCTCTCACGTCGTTGGTTTCCCACACGACCCCGGCCAATGCTTCCTCCGATATCCCCACGGTGACCCAGTACACCTACGAAGCCACCTGCCTGAAAGAAATCAAATTCGAATGGAAGGACGCCAAACAGACGTGCCGGGAGATCCTCTGCCCGGACGGGCAGTACTGGAACGTGGAGGCGGACGCGTGCGTGGTCAACACCTTTGTGAACCTGTCCGTCTTGGAGACCTCAGGGGCTTTGGATCCGGCGTTCCTCCGCGGATTTTACAAAATGTCTTGGAAGGGCACCGACCCTTACCAAGGCCCAGACGACACCAACGTCGGGGTGACCTTCACGGGCCGTTTGCCGGGCGATCCCCAGGCGAACATCGCGCCCATGACCTCGGACGCGATCAATTTGTTGTCCTACGGCGGGGGCAATGAGTTTGGGGCGTGGAGCGTGGCGGCGGTGGAGGCCGTCGGCTCGGAATCCAATTTGAACGAGGTCATCTCGCTAAAATACGACGGGATCGTGATCGACGCGGAGGAGTATGCCTCAGGCCAATCCGTCACCGTGGAAGAGTGGAACACAATGTTCGCCGCCATCAAGGCCAAAAACCTGATGCTCATAGTCACCACCTCCCACTTCTCCCCCTACGGCATGTCCAACGGCGCGGCCCTGATCGCCGACTGGCTCTCCAATCCCAACATCGACTACCTCTCCCCTCAGCTCTACACCAGTGGAACGGAGCCTCAGAACGACTGGGTGGGATTCAGCGCCGCCTGGACGACGGCCTCCACCCCCATTGCCCCTTCCATTGTCCAAGCTTCCTACTACGACCAACTCGGGGAGAATTCCGTGACCGTCTACCTGCCCAACGCGAAGGGGTACCTGGTGTGGAGCAACACCCCTCCGCCCCAGCCAGGCCCCACCCCGTCCTGTGTCAGCGGTTACTTCCCGGTACGTGCCCGACGGCCTCACTTTTCGATACAATGATGATGCTATATAATGTTCCCCTATGAAGCTGTGCTTGTCCGTGTCGAATCATATTCCTTCCCCTCATCCCCCCCCTCTTCTTCTCCCAGGGAAGCGGCTGTGCTTACATGTGCGAATGGTGCGCCCAGCAGCTTCAAACCGACAACTATTACTGGAAAAGCGGTGTCTGTACCTACCAAGCTGGCACGGGCTGTGTGGGCTCCCCCCAGGCGGGCGTGGAATACACGTGCTGCAAGGCCGGATCTTCGTAAATGGAAGGTTCTGGAAGCTTGGTCGCTGGGGCTCGTCGCGCGCAGTCTTGGGCAGTGTGGTGGACTTGCTTGCGATGTGCCGGGCGACGTTGAGGCCTTGTTTTTAATTGAGTAGAGAGGAGATATTTGATAGAATGTTAGAAAAGCCCAACCCTCGACCTGGACAAATTATTGTTCGAGTGTACGGTTGGAAAAGGAGGCTTCAAGGGAAGGAGAGAGGAGGACGGTAGCATCTCCTTGCCCCTGAACGGATGGCCCCATGCTAAGGAAAACTGTCGTGGAACAGAAGGCGCGAACCTGAGAGACACAAGAACACCGTGATTGAGTCTTAATTTAATAATCCGGGCGGTGGAAGAGGGAACAGGCAGTAGGATTGAACCCCCACGGCGGCTACAGTGTCGGGCACGGGCGCTGTCACGGACAGGGGAGGGAAACATCGAGCCTACCGCCCTAGATACTTTCATCCATAACCCTATCCATATATGTAACCCCAACCTTCATCCTTTTCGGGTGGCCGTTCTCCCCAAAAAGCACGGTGCCGTCGACCCCGGTTCAGGTCCCAAAGAAGATTAAAAAATTAATATATATATCAGAACCCTCTTTGCTTGGCAGACGCTTCTATTATTATTCAATTCGCTTTCCTTAACACTTTCTTTCTTACTTTCTTCCGGCCTTTCCTTTTTTAAATTCTTCTCCTTCTCTGTCCTTC